AAAAAAAAAAGAACAGCCAAGTTCATCAGGCAAGCCAGCATGACAAGGTCTCCCAGCACAACAGCCCAGGAGAACCAGTGGCTTCCAACAGCTCCAACAGCTTCTCCAAACAGCATCCCTAACAGCTTACTGACAGCTTCTCCTGTTCTGTCTCTTATGCTGCTGGCAACAATCCTCAGGTAGGCCTCCCACACCCAGCGCCATGCTAGTTCAATTCAGCTGGGTGTAACCGGCTGGACCACTGGTTAGCTATGCACTACAGGATAAAAGCAAATAGGAAATTAAGGAGAGAGAACTCGTAGTGGGCCAATAATTATAAAATGTCATGAAATGAACAATAAGTTGAACTCAGTACTCTTCAAGACCAAAAAAAAGATTGTACGTGTGTATGGCTTATAACCACAAATTATATCAGGTTTGGTAGTGAGTTATTGATTGAACTTTACATAATACACACTGATTCTATCTTCACGCGTTCACACTGTGAACGTACATCTTATGAATAAGAAGTAATCACCCACTAAAAATAAGGTGTGAAGTGGAATCCGAATTTCGTTTTTCAAACAAAAACTTGCTTTGAACGTCTCCACATCTTAGTATTTTATTTTTAATACACACACACACACACACACACACACACACACACACACCCTACTGTTTTCTACGTGCAGGCACTGGAACTCTCCAAGGATGTTCAAGGTCTCCTCTTACACCTGTTACAGCGCTTTCTGCTCACTCTAGGGCGTGATAATTTATATCTGCTTTGCCCTGCCCTTGCCCTGTTCACATCATTAGGCGCCCCCCCCACCCCCCCACCCCCCGTAATTTGCCTTCTGGAGATAAAGCTATACATCGCTTGTGCATTTCCCTGCGCAGGGGGGCCTCCTTGGGGCAAAACCCCAGGGGCGCGTCCTAATGGCTTGTGTTTCCAGCAAGGAGGCTGATTTCTTCTGAAGATGCACCCTAACTCTGAGATCCCTCAGGAATGTGCAGGAGAGCTCCCACGCCCATAGGCCAGGCCACAGAGGCGGGGCGCCCACACTCCAGGTGACCCAGGAAGCAGCCTGGAGCAGGCCGACATCCTCGTCTATTCCTTCGCCGAGGCGGCAGGGGGCGCTGCAGGGCGGCAGGGGCACTGCGCGTGCGCGCTGCGCGGCCTGCCTTCCGGAGACTGTTCGCAGGGGCATCGCGGGCAGTATGAAGCCCGCCGAGGGCGCCGAGAGCACCGAGGTCACCGAGAGCTACGGGCCGCGGCAGCTGGGACTCTGCGTCCTGTGCGGCCTACCCGCAGCGGGAAAGTCGACCTTCGCGCGCGTCCTCGGCCGCTGGCTGCGGCGGGAGCGGGGCTGGGCCGTGGGCGTCCTGTCCTACGACGACATTCTGCCGGACGCGCCCCTGGATGGCGTGGACGCGGGCGCGGGGCCGCGGGTCAGCACCGGGGGCGGGCGGGTGGGCGCGGCGGCGCGTGCGCACCGAGCCCTGCGGTGCCCTTTGGGGTGCGCAGCCGGGCTTGCACTGGCAGTCCCCTGGGGAGGCAGGAGTTGGAGACGGGTGGAGCTGGGGGGGCACTGCAGCAGGGGAAAGAAATGGCCCGCAGAAATAGATCACAAAATAGTTAAAATACAGCCGTTTTAGAGTGATGCTTTGTGGAGGTTTATGTGTGCCTTTGTGTGTTGCATAGTCTATACCGCGAAGGTTTGGCATTTTGAGATGGGATCTTGCTGTATTGCCCGGGCTGGCATTAAATTGGTTTAGTTCAGCCCCCTTGCCTCAGCCTCCTGGGTAGCTGGGATTATAGGCACCTCGGTGCTCTACTGGGGTTTTAAGGGGTAAATTCTAAATTAAGTGTGCCAAGGTAGAAATCCTCCATAGTCAGGTATTTGCTATAGTCCTCAAGAAGTTTTCTCCTTAGGCAAAGGAAGCGAGCTCCAAAAGAGTCTAACATAGCCAGTTTAAAAAAATAAAAATAAAAAAGGAAACATAGCCAGTTAAATTGAACTTTATATTATTTGGGGAACCCTCTTTAATAAAAATATAAATTATAAATAACAAAATTGCTAGAGGCTCTCAAGGAAGAAAGAGGCCCTGTAAGTGAAGAGCCTGCCCTCTATAGCCTGTCTTCATCCCTCTCAGGGCAAATCTGCATTGGAAGCTATTTCTTAGCATCCCACCACATAAAACATTGGGGTTTTATTTAGGGGCCTGCTTAATATTTCAAATACAGTACAGTGGCCCCCTCAAAATGGCAGAGGTTGCTTTCTTAGAACACTGACAAATTGGAAAAAAAAACATGAATTTCAGATTTGGTCAGAAAATGCCTATAAATTCCTATTTTTATAGTTTAAACCCTAAATATGCTAGGTCTCACATAGTTATGCGATTTAATAAAATACTGTAGCAAAGCCTTAGAAGGTACATTGAATTTTGGTGGCAGCTTAGCCATTGTAGGGCTGTAGGGGGAACCAAACGGAGAACACTAGAGATAGCTAAGGGCTGTTTGAGCAAACTGTTAGGCTGCTGGTGCATTAAGGGGTCACAGGCAATCAGCAACAGCAGGGAGAAGAAGCTTTTGGATTGGTTACTTGGAAACCTCTACCAAGAAAACAGCTGCAGAGGATAACTGCAGTTTCTGTGAGCAATTATTAATTACCTTTTAGGAAAAATCTGCAAATGTCTGAGGCTATGAACTCTGAGCGGGTGACTCTGAAGAGGTATACTGTGTATACTTGTCTCTAGGCCTTCAATTTAGTAGGTGGAGGTATAGTAACCCTTTGGGGAAGCACATGACCTGAGGTCTCCAGGAAACATGAAAGTCCCTTCTACAACTGTATTCTCACTTTAGAGCAAATACACTGAAATATGAAAGGCTAATGCCTGATGATGAATGAATTCACGTAAGTCAAATGTAGATGTATGACTATGCCTTTTGTATGCAAGGATATTGTATACTTGTGTTACTATTATTTTTCTGCTCTTCCTGTGTAGTTACAGGCCATGAGACCCATTTGGTCATCATGATTAGAAAATCTCACGTTTTAGCAAGTGACAGTTCCTTTGCAGTGGGTTTAGTGATATACTTGTGCGTGGTGTCATCCCACTGACGTGGTCAGTCCTGGACAGGCAAGGGAGGGATCTTGATTTCTTGTCCCAGTTCCCTCTGACCTGGATGTCAGAACTTCCGTGCTCTCTGCAGCCCTTGACTGACATCGGATTGTGTGTATTCTCAAGCTATTTGTATTGTTTCCCTCAATCTGTTTTCTTTCTTCTCCAACCTCCCCACAGGTCTTTTTATCTTAACTTAGGAACCTTTCAGGTGACCATCTTGCTGACCACAGTCTTAACTGATATAGAGGAGTGAAACACCAACCTGAAAGATAACCTGGGCTGAGTTCGTGTTCTCTAAAAACAAGAATGAATTTTAGGAACAATGGAGGTTAAAAGTAGAATATATTTATTGGGGGAAAGAAAACTTCTGCCCAAGAGAGGAACAGAAGAGGACCCAATTGCGTTGCCCAAGAATTTGCCTTCTCTAGGGATTTTTATAGAGCAAAACTATGAGATGAGGCGGGTCTAGGGTGGAAAACATGGGAACTCGTGCATGAGGTGGGACAAAAACTGGTCAACCAATAAGACTACAAGTATAATTGCTCAGGTAAAATTGATTAAGTCAGGTGAGTCACTTAGCAAGCGGGCATGAATACAGAGCAAGAGTTTTTCTTGTAGGGATTGGGTCTGTGGCCCTTTTGGGCTCTTTCAAGGTGACTGATACCTATTTAGAATGTCAGTCCCTGATGCCCATCCCTAGGGAAGTATGTGGCTGCATTTGTTTACTCTTTTGTTTTCAGATCTGGCCCACAGCTGGAGCATCTGTCTCTCCCAAAGTTGCAAGGTCATCTTGTCTTCCATATTGTCCCCTCAAGAGCCTTATCTTGTCTGATTGCCTATAGTATTTCTATCTCATTTAGCTATTTATTCTATCTCATTTATCTCATTTAGTTGCTTGAGGATTGACTTGAGGCCCAGCCTTTTTACTCATTTAGCTGCCTACCACATTACCAATTTAAGGGTAAATCAACATTGTTGTATCTTGAACAGACTATTTTAATTTGGCAGGTTATTGATTTTGGTTCCTCTGGGTAGTACTAGCTTTTCATGCTCTCATTTGTACATTCATTCATGCACATTTCTGGAGCACCTGTTAGACATCAGACTGTTGGGTGGAGACTGGGTATGCAGTGGGCTAATGTTCTAGCAACAAGATATAGAAACACGGGTCTGAACAGCACAGCCCTGCTGGAGTGGAGACATAGTTTGTACCAAATGGGACGCTGTGATGGGCAGGGGAGGGGCTCAGTTCTAAGTCTCAGAAGGCATTACCACACTAGCAGATGAAGTTAATAGGCCAAGGGAGCAGTATATAAAGACTGCTTTAAAATATATATTGAGGCATGAGAACAGGGTGTCTGTAGAGAACTCCAGATGGTTTAGCAGCATAAGCTCAAATTTTCATGTGAGGAAGAGTGACTAAAAGACTACATGACTACCCTACTGAAAAAGTAACATGCAACTATTACTGTAATGTAAATTACAGTTCTTCTGTCTTTATAGCCATCCCAGTGGAAAATATTTCGGCAGGAAGTGTTGATGTACCTGGAATGCTTCTTGGTGGCTGTCATTAATGGCTGTCAGATGTCGGCGCCACCCAACAGGATTGAACCCATGTGGGAAGATTTCATCGCCTGCCTGAAGGATCAAGATCTGATACTTTCTGCAGCACTTGAGGCCCAGCCTTTTTACTTCTTAACAAAAACTGCTGTTTCTAGACCTTTATATTTGGTTTTAGATGACAACTTTTATTATCAGAGTATGAGATATGAAGTTTACCAACTGGCTCGGAAATGTAATTAAATTTTTTCTTACATATGGGAACATTTATTATGTCAAAAATCTACTTTCAGTGAGAATTTTAGTGGATTAGAGGGCTATATGGATTTAACTTTAAAACTAGGTTTTCAGGGGCCGGGGAGATAGCTCAGTAGAATAAGCACTTGCCTGGCAAGTGCAAGGGCCTGAGTTCAATCCTTGGTTCCACCAGAAAAAACCAAACTAGGTTTTCAGTATGCCAAATGGAGTTTTTCTTTCTTCCACTTGGATTTGTCTAGTATATATTTATTTCACACTTTGGAAAGATAAGAGACCAGTAATTTGTTGATTTTAAACTGTTTTCAGATTCGTTGGGTTTTTGCCAGCTCTTTTTAGACTGCCCTCTGGAGACCTGTTTGCAGAGGAACAGCCAGAGACCTCAGGTGCTGCCTGCTGACACTATCCTCCTGATGGAGAGAAAGATAGAAAGGCCCAACCCTGAGAAAAATGCTTGGGAGCACAGCAGCCTCACAATTCAGAGTCCAGTGCATTCGTCAGAGGCCAGGTATTCCAGTCAAAGCCACCCTTCCCTGGGGCTCCCTTGGACTCCATGCTAAATAATTTTTTTCTGTTTACTGGCTGATCCTTTCACAGGCCCTTGAGTGTTATTTGGGTAGAAGAACAAACTGAGGTGAGAAAGTGCAGTTTGTCCAGAGTCTCTAAACTTGTGACAGCCAAGTGTGTAAGTTGTGATTCTTAATTGTTAGAATTATACTGCCTCCCAAAGACTGGAGCCAGGAGCTCATAAACAGAGTGGCCACTCAGAAACAGAGTGGCCCAGATAGGTTGCCCAGGGGTTTTCTCACAGAAAGAATTCTGTGGGCTGGGAATGTGGCTCAGTGGCAGAGCATCTGCATGGCATCCACAAGGTCCTGGGTTTGCTTCCTAGCGCCGAGAAAGAAGAAAAACTAGACAAGAAATTTCTAAAAGAATGGGAACTTGTACTAGATCCTAATTTGTCTTAGACCTTGCTCTTTTCTAATTTTTTAAAATTAATTTTATTGAGAAACAAATAGCAATGAGACAGTTTCAAAACTGTTAGTAGGTTTGTAAATAGGATCACAAGTCCGCATCTTGTACAGCAATTAACCACTAAGAAGAATATATGCAGTGTATTATTTGTTGAAACTGTACTTCCAATTTGATTTGAAACTGTCTCATTGCTATCTGTTTATCAATAAAACTTTGAAAAAAAACTGGTTAGTAGGATAGTTTCAATAATTAATACATTCCATATTGTTGTCTTCATAGAGGTTATTCATAGTACAAGATGCAGACATGATATCCTGTCCAAACACTATTAGTACAAATCTTTCTTCTCATTGAATTAAGAGAAAGTAGCTGTATATCTATCTTAACTATTTTGTACATACAGATACATAATGGTCCATTTGTATCCCCTTTTTTTGTTTAGTTTTGTCAGAGATGGGTATTCCGTTGCCATTTAAATATTGTAGGAGTGTGAATTCAGCAAAATATCCAATATAGTCCAGGAGTCCATAATAGTAGTGAGTCACCCATAGGGCTGGCAATGTCAGAAGTTGTTGACATGAGTAGACCTTGCTCTTACTGCTCGGTCCTTTATGTATTTGTGAAGCACATGGGTTCAGGTGTCTAATGCTTTCTATTTATGATACGTGTTCTAAGAGTTTTATAGTAGTTTTTTAATAGACATTCTTAATAGACATTTTATTTATGATGGAAATGGCCTGGATTTGCACTGTCCCATATCAGTCAGCTGGCCACATCTGACTGTTGAGTACTTAAATGTATCTAATGTAATTGAATACCTGAATTTTTAGTTTAATTTGATTTTAATTAAATTTAGCCTCATGTAGCTAGTACTTGTTATAGTGGATTATGCAAGCACTCAGTGCCCATTTGATGGCTGTGGGGAATCAGCAATTTTCTGGTTTTATGTATTTATTTTATTTAGTCAGGTACAGGGTCTCGCTATCCATTTTGGACTCATAGTAATCCTCCTGTCTTGTTTTTAGTCAGGGCTTCATGTGGTCCAGGCTGGGCTTGAACTCATGGTGATCCTCCTGCCTCAGTCTCTTGAGTGCTCTGATTACAAGCATGAGCCATCCCACCTGGCTGCCAGGATCATTAACTTTTAACAGGCAAATTTTTAAACTCATTCCTCAAAATTTAGTTCCCAGGATTTAGATCTTGTGTATTTTAGAAAATTAATATACCTAAAAAAATTGCACTTAAGTGATGATTGTTTCTATAGTATATGAAGCTACTGGTGAGGTTTCTGTTATGCTGTCTTGAAATTTTGAGCAGGCACATAGTGATTGCTACTCCGTGTGGAATACTTAAAATCACTTTCTATGGAAACAAGCATTGGAAGCCCTGTATTGGAAGTTGAGAGATGATTTCATACATGTGCCTTTTCCAGGCTCTGTAAAGTAATAACATAATAGTAGAGAGAGAGATTGAGCACATCTTTGTTGGGCCTGTTCTGAACACTTCCTATGTGTCGTCTTATTCAATCTTCACAATCACCCTTTTAGGGGATAAACTGTAATTGCCCTTTTATGGGCGGATTGTGTAATGTATCCAGCTAGGAAGGGGCAGAGCCAAGATCCCAGCCCGGTGCAGGCTCATGGGCTCCAGGACCTCAGCTCTTCCTTATGACGAAGATTGTTTTGAGATTGAAACTAACACAGTGAGGTGCCTGACTAAGAGTCTTCCAGGTCTATTTCCTGTACTGAGTACTCACTCAGGCTCCTGAATGGTCACTGCCCCTCCCCTGGCTTTTAAATCAAATTGACTCTTTGGTGAGCCGTAGATGTTCTCTCATCAGGGCCTTTGTACTTGCAGGCCCCGCTGTCCTTCCTCCCTAGGCTGACTGTCCTGCCTGACCAGCTGAGTAGAGTTAAGATCATTATTGACAGGTTGTGGCCCAAGTATGAAGTGCTAAATTATGGTGGTTATCTAACATGACTGAAGCCCCAACACAGCAGCTTATCTTCCCAGTGACCACTTCCTCCTCCTTCCCCACCTAGTGCTGCACACCTTTTCTCACACAAACACAAAGGAGCCCCCAGTGAACTCCTTACATGTAACTCAAACTTCCCCTCACACTCCACCCCTAGCAAAAATTCATAAAAGTCTCAGTTTTCTTTGTATCTCTCCCTTCCCCCATCTTCCTCAGATTCTCTCCATGTCTTTAGAGTCAAGTCAAGGCCTCTTTTATCTTTCCTCTCTCTATTGAACTGAAGAAAAACCTAATAGTTTATCCTTTATTGTCTTCACTCACTCACCCATTTACCATGTCCAAAAAGGTTTTACTTATTTATCTCCACTACATTGTCAGGCTTGGAAGGGTAAAGGATCTTGTTATGCCACAGTTTAGCTACATAGCTGTACAATATCTTTGATGTAAGATGCTCAATATATATTTGTTAAATGAATGAATGAATTCTTACTAAATCTTCTATGGACCCTTGGCCAGTGAGGAATTTTGCTGATCCTTGTCCAGTAATAAGCAAGAATCAGAAAACAAAGAAGAGGTGGGTTTGGTGGTGCATGCCTATAGGGAGGCTGTCTAGAGGCTGAGGCAGAATTGCCACGAGTTCAAAGTGAGCTGGGTTACCTGGTCAGTTCTTCTGGCTTTAAAATAGTATGTTACCCAGTAGTTCCACATAAAATAGGGGAAAGGAGAAAATTATTTTTCAAAGCTTATAATTTATATGAGTCTTAGGAAATTAATATTTGTAGATGAGAGGTAGTTTAGATTTTCTCTTTTGTTAAGGATCATTGGTTATAGCAACTTTACTTCTCTAGAATTCAATTTAATATTAGTACAGGGTTTTTTTAGTACAAGATTTTTTTAAAAAAATGTTTGGAAATAAGGATTTATTGTATTTTATCCCACCTTTTTTGTAGCCTGGAAGTGGCCAATTTATTGCTTAGTGCTTTGGAGAATCCAGTGAAGTATGTTGAGGACAATGTGGAACAAAAGGTAAGTCTCTGAGGTAGAACGGATGTAAATGAGAAGGAGCGGCTTCTCACAGGGGATCTTTTCGTGTTTTCAGTGAGTAAAACATCAAGGATGCTTTGTCAGCAGCATCAGCCGGCTTCACCTGCTGGCCTCTGAATGCCGGGGCAGCTGCTAGCAGCTCATGCCAGAGCCCGCTGACATTACGTTGGTAGCTTAAAATGTGCAGGATGGAAATACAAGCACACGCTACAGATAAACTTCAGGGGATTTTGGGGGGAGATACCCAATTAGACATTCATCATTATACCACTACCTAGGGGAACCCAGTTTACAATAGGAAGTAACTCACTGGGACCCTTTCTGAGGGAAGATTAACAGAAGTCATTCAAGCCACTCTAGCCTCCCCAGCCCCCTTATTTTTTATTTTTTATTTTTGGTGGTGCTGAGGATTAAATCCAGGACCAGTCAGTCCACTGCTGAGTTACATCTCTTTTTCTTTCAGTCTCTTATACTTTAGTGTTTTCTTTTATAAAACTTCCAGTAACAATGCCTGTATCACACAGGAAACAGACAGAATTATTTGTTCAGCTAACATTTTGCATAAAGCCGATCAGACACTCCGAAGAATAGTCTCTCAAACAATGAAGGAAGCAAAAGGTACGTTGAACTGGTAATGTGCTCTTCACTTGATGTGCTAATTGGCTTTCTATTGCTGTTATTTCCTTGTCATTCATGTAGTTTAGTAGCTGTCAAAGCTTACATCCCGTTTTCCCCTTAAGTCTGCACTTCCATTACAAATGCCTAAAAAGCCTTCTTCTGGAATTGGGTGTTCATCCATTTATCAAATTTCTACTGGCTGGGAGATGGCTCAGTGGAATAAGCACTTCCCTGGCAAGCGTAAGGGCCTGAGTTCAACCCCCAGTTCTGCCACAAAAAAAAAAGAAAGTAAGTTTCTACTGAGTGGCTGTTTTTTTCCTAGGGAATATTCTAGATGATGGAGAATCAGCAAGAAGCAGAACAATCCAGTAGGGAGAGAGAAAAGTAATTGTATGAAGATATGTCCGTGCTTTCAAGAAAAATAAAAGTAGGATAAAGCAGTATCAAGTGATGTATTTTTTGTTTTGGTTTGGTTTTATGAGACAGGGTCTCACTGTATAGTTCAGGCTGGTCCTACCTCCAGAGTGCTGGGATTACAGGTGTGCACCACCAAGCTCAGCTAAGTGATGGATATATTTTTATTTTATTTTATTTATTTATTTATTTATTTATTTGTGGAACCGGGGATTGGACTCAGGCCCTTGCACTTGCCAGGCAAGCAATAATTCTACTGAGCTATCTCCCTAGCCCGATGGATGTATTTTTAAAAGCATCATCAGGAAGGCTTTCAGAGACGATGTGTAAACAGAGATGTGAATGACAGGAAGGAATAAGCCATGTAGGTATCTGTAGGGTCATTCCAAGCAGGGAACACATAAAGCACTAAAACCCAGAGGTTTGAGAGCTTCTGGAACAGAACAGAGGTCATTGGGCCTGGAATGAACTAATGAAGGAGCAGAGGTAGTCAGAGACCCAGTATAAGATGAATGTGGAGTCTGGGCAAGGTCAAGGGACCATAAATCTTAATAATCTATATAGTTTTATAAGATAATTCCAGTATTCCAGAAGTGGAACACTCTGTAATCCCAGCATGCCAGGAGGTTGAGGCAAGAGGACTGCAACAAGTTCAAGACCAGCCTAGACTACATACTGAGTTCGAGACCAGCCTGGGGTACACAGTGAGTTCAAGGACAGGGCAAACTGCACACTGAGACCTTGCCTCAAAAAACCCAATAGATGTGAATATAAGAATTTCTTTTAGGTTCTGAATATTTAACTGTTGTTTAAAATTTGGTTTTAAAAACAGCAGCTAATGTTTCTTTAGCTCACTTTGTATGCTCAGTACTTCATAGTTTCTAAGCTGTACAGTCCTAGAAGGCGGGTATAATTTTACGGATGGGAAATGACGATTCACAGTGGACTGAGTAACTTACCCTGGTGCTACTGAACATTTGGGCAACTTGGGCTCCAGAGTTACGCCTGGTTCTAGTCAGCTGTGCTGCTCCTTGAGTCACCAGCGTTGAACCTTAACAAAAGCTTCGAACGTTGAAGGTGATATGCCAAATACAGTGGTTTTTAAATTCATGAAGTGTAAGTAAATTTTACACTGTAAGCCAGAGTGCACCTGAAATCAGGGTCTGTCAAGAAACAAATTTCATAAAACACTCAGCTGTTTCATGAACTTCATTATGTTTTGTTTTCATTTTAGAAACACATTGGTTGCTACACAGAAATGAGTTACAACCCAAAATTTTTAATGGAAAACGGAAAAAAGATGGCAGCATAATTAAAATAAAAGCAAAAATAGTTCCACTGGTTCTTTCTAAGGCATTTACCTTTCTTCTTATACCCAAATCACTTATTTCCTACCCATTTAAAGAACTGGGGGGTGCTGGTGACAGCTGCTGAATCTGTGCTTAACTGAAATAAAGAATTCAGTTCCTCTGCCATCGAGCAAGTGAAAAGGCACAGATGGGCAAAGTATCTGCAAGCAGTGGCTCATATGGAGGGCCAGGTGTGGCAGCTCAGTCCTATAATCCCTGCACTTGGGAGCAGAGGTGTGAGGACTGCCAGGTTGGAGCCCACCCTGGGTGAGAGCTGGGGATACGGCTCAGCACAAAGGCCCTGGGTTCAATCCCCAGTGGCATTCAGCGGATGGATGGATGGGTGGATGGATGGGTGATGGATGGATGGGTGGATGGACAGATAGATCCACAGAAAGACAGAGGTACTTTGGATCATAAACTTAATTCTTTCCACAATTCTAGTCACAAACCAAATTGAATGAGAACTGAATTAATTTCCCCATAAGCTCAACAATGAACCTAATCAAGAACCAAATCAAGTTCAGTGGTTAGGTTCAGTGTTGACCTTACGAGGAAATGTGATTCTGTTTTGACCAGTCTGGTTTATGACCAGAATTGTGGAAAGAATTCATTTTGAGTCAAGGCACCACTGTACAAATTAACACTGTAAGGATATCACCTCACAGCTACTAGAAAGGCTAGAATTTAAAAGTCCATGTATTGTGGATGTGGAGATTAAGAACCTTCATACCCTACAAAAACTTAATACAAATGTTTACAGCTGCATGACAGCATATGCCTATAATCCTAGCACTCTGGGAGGCTGAGGCAGGAGGATCGCAAGTTTGGGCCCAGAATAGAAAATTTAAGAGATTTAGTGACCCCCATCTCAGAAATTAGAAAACATGGGCCAGGTGTTGAGGTACATGCCTGTAGTGCCACCACTTGGGAGGCTGAGACAGGAAGATCACTGCATTTGCGACCAGCCTGCACTACATACATAGTTCAAGGACAGCCTCAACTACATAGTGAGACCATATGAAAAGCCTGAGTTCAATCCCCAGTATTGTCTGAAAACAAAAATTAAAAGCCCAAGTTTCTAAAAGCCATAGTGTTTATAGTAGCCCAAAAGGCAGAAACAGCTGATAAAAGGATAAACAGAATGTTGTGTAACCATACAGACAGGATACTGTTATGGGATACATTATGGAGAATCTGAAAATATACAAAATGAAAGTCACACAGTATCACATACATGACTTGTCATAAAATGTCCAGAATAAGGAAATCTTGAGGCAGAGAACATTAGTGGCGTCTAGAGATTGAAAGTGGGCGTCAGAGTGGGTTGAGCAAGGTGACAGTGAAGAGTACTGGTTGGGTTTTTGGACTTTAAAATATTTTAAAGTTGGTGCTGGTTCATGTATCTGGAGTATAGTTTAAACAGATGGATTTACTTGTGAATGTATCAATAAAGCTAACAAATTTTCAGATTCTCCATAACACTGCCCATCTGGTAATGGCTGCTATATTGAGTACAGGTATACAAAACATTTCTGTCATTATAGAACGTTATAGTGGACAAATTTCAAGTATTTGTTGGTTCAAAACCATTTGTGTGTGTGTGTGTTTGGTACCAAGGATTGCACTCAGGACCTTGTGCTTGCCAGGCAGGCACTTAAGCTGCTGAGCTACCTCTCTGGCCCCAAATTGCCATTTTTTAGTTTTGTTTTGCCTTTCAACCAAAAGTTATTGCCTTCAATCTTGTCAATAACAAACTCTTCTGGTTGTCTTTTTCTGCATATATACCCAAAGCAAGTTAAATTCCTTGAACTGTTCAAGGTGATTTTCCTGTGTCACATTTACATGACGTGTAGTCTATAAGTTATTCCAGCTCACTCATCATCATTTGTAGAAGAATCTGGCTTGTTTTTCTGATGTAATCAAATTAATTTTCTGAGGTCATCAAGTAGCCCAGATTGATTTACAGAAATAATTTGAAAACACTTTTTAAATTTCAGATGAACAAGTACTTCCTAACACCTTGAAGCTACTGGCAGAGGAGCTTAATAAGCGCAAGTCAGAAATGCTGGAAGACTTAAGGGGAGGGAAACTGCGCTTTCAGCACGCTGCGGGCACGGCCGACCTTGTTTCCTGTTTTTGTAAAGAGAAGGATAATATTGTACAGAAATATTTTTCAAAACACCACCAACATTAAATTTTCTAAATTTGCAATGAAACGTCTGATTTTGATAAGCATTTGCAAACAAGTTAAAAGAATAATTTTGTACTGCAAGACGTTTTCTAGGCCAGTGTGAATTGCCAAATATCATTCTTTCAGAAAGAGCCAGGAATGTAGCTCAGCAGGGCATTGCCTGCCTAGCAAGCTTAAGGCCCCAAGTTTAATTCTTGGTACCAAAAAGAAAAAAGCCAGGTATGGTAGGGCATATCTGTAATCTCAGCACTGGGACGCTAAGGCAGGCAAATTATAAATTCTAAGCCAGCCTTACCTACATAGTGAGACCCTGTCTCAAAAGAAATGAAGTCAGTTTATTTTAAAAGATCCATTTGTTATCAGAATTGCTTCTGTCTCTTGTCAGATATGAGATGGATAATTAAGCATCTGAGGCAGCCTTCCTCACACATGTGACGAAATCTTCAGAATATGCTAGAACCCACAGGGTGCAAAGTCAGGCTAAATGGACCTTGAGTAAGAAGAGATGAGGATGGAGACCAGCTGCACATATATGTAGCTGTCAGTAACTTGTGATCTTCTTATGTAGGGCAGTCTGTTAGTCTGAACCAGTGTAGTCACAAGATCCTTTTCTTTTATTAACAGTTTATATACCAAAAGATTACCACAAAGCTAATTTGCTAGTTTTCAGAAAAGAAAAATTGGATCATTAGAAAGTGTTATTTTTTTATTCATATATTACAAAACTGAAGCTTCATTCACAATATGAACTACATACTAGTTATTTAAGCATTAACCTGTTTTTTGAATCCCTAAACAATATAATGCATTACAACCATAATGTAAGCTTTATGCTTTTCATACAAAATATGTTCTTACATCAAAGTACATATTAACAAAAAGCATATACCCTCTAAGACTAAAGAAAAAGTCTTTAGCAGGGAGATTAGAAATTTTCAACACATTCATTTGATAAATATTTTTATAGAACTTAAAATGAAGTTTATCTCTTATTTTTTTAAGTAATATTCCCTTTGTCAAATGATTCTCTATATGAATGGCAAACATTTATTTCCAAAATGAAATAGCATTGGAAATCACCACTGGAAATTTTTTTTCTAAGTACAAGTCTAGCCTTTAGTTGAACTTCTAGAAGTTCATACATTAGCTACATACATTAGAAAAATCTGAAATAAAATTATTCCCTGTTAATCTCTTCACAGTTTCTTAAAAAAATATTAGTGGAGATAAATTATCTACCAACTTTAAAAATCTAAACGTATGTTCACTGAACAAAAATAAATTTAGTTTCACAACATTGCCTATTAGCGGCAAAGTACTCTAAATAGTGCATGTTAAACTTTTTCAAACTCATTGTCATAAAATACTTGATTAAAAATGAAAGGAACATATTCAGTACGTTAGGGAAGACTCTAACATCTTTCCAAATACAGAATTTAACTCAGGAAATTTAAATAAAACCCTAAATCTTTTAAAAAGTATAACTCCAAAAATTTCTAAGGTAGATTTGTTTCAAGATTTTTAGTGCATTTAGAATTGATTATAGCTTTTAAACACACCTTTGGAACTAACTGTGCTCTTTAAGTCATAGGAAAATTAGGTTATACTCTATAACTATGAAAAACAATCTTTTTCATGTTTAAATTAAAATGCACCTTTAAAACATCTATCTTTATTACAAAAATTTATTTGTCACTATTTGGCCCCAGAATATACAGTTAATAAGCTGGTTTTAAGGACAGTTCTCTTTGTTTAATGAAATTTTTCATTTTCTATTTTGGAATATTGCTTTTATTTGAAGACTAAAATAGAAGAAAAAATTATTATAAAGCTTTCAAATGACAACTTGTGTCTTTCTGGAAACTGACAAGGACTAGAATCAAGTTACAATTTGCAAAGTGCGCTAAAATTGAGCAGTGAGTGATTTAAGCAACAGAGGAAAAACAGAACTTGTAGTGTCACAAGATTTGACAAGGAAGGGAGTTCCTGTTCGGATAAAGTGTCCTTAAGACAAGCCTACACTGGCCATGCAGCCATAAGCACTCACTTTTAATGGCTTTCTAGCATTGGGAGAGCAGAGGGCTCATTGCTTGGCACTTGGTGTTTTGTGGGCAGTTACCATTAATATTTCCCTTTTATTTACTATACGAGTACAGGTCCTTTTTTGGTTAAAATATTTTGGTTACATATTTTCCTTAAGCCAATTGTATTTTCAAAATATGAATCAAATAAAAAATAGAAATTTTGCAAAGTACACAGAAACCAAGTTAGTAACAACATTTTATTGTTTGACCAAATTCTCTTCAAGAGTAAGCTAGCTGTTACATAATATAAAAACAATAGCCTCCTATTCAAAATGAATCACTCTAGATTTAGCACATCTTTTATAAACAAATAACATGTTTAGATGCATTTTGTATTCATTTTCATACCTTTTTATTCTTTCCTATTAAAGTGATGATTCAATCACAGTTTCCATATAGTAAGTATTGTCACTGTACATGGAAACTGATGAAACTGCAAGTAAGTTATTATAATTTGAATTCACAGAAAATATTTTAAATGGCCAGTTCTGAAAAGGAGGCCAGGATGTGTTCCGGGCACATTACTGTATTACTATCACATTTCCCCATGTATTTCTACATCCATATTTTCTTAGAAACTAGGAGCAATAAATGCTTAGAAGGCAACAAAAGGAAAATGGAGATTTTTTTATTTGAAAGACTGAATCTTAGTAATCAAGATAGCTAACTTCCATATTACCTCTTTGGTCATCAAAAGAACAGGAAGAATAAGATTCTCACTACATTTACATACCTCACCTGACTCTAATAATATCAAAATGAATTTAACTGAAAAGTTTAAAATGAAAAAAGGCATCTAGCACTCTACTATGTTTAACTATCATTTTTAAAACTAAATGAAGTATAAAAAATT